ACAGGTTCCATAAGAGTTACCCATCTCTTATTATAGGTTTTACAAATTTTCAGTGATTTAGTATATCAAAACATAGACTAGTGCTTTAAAATAGTATTAGCTCTTATTATTGTATTTAAAAAGTCAACCCAACATTGACCCATAGTTCTGAAGACCTAATTTCTGGGACTCTGAAATTCTTGTGATGACATCAAGGTGCTTACTTGTGACCTGTTGTGTAACTTGTGACCTCTTTGTGATCACAATGATCAATGAGTCGATAAAGGCAGTTATGAATGATACCATCTTTGTGTGTGTGTGCGCATCGCTGGCCAACTACAACTCTCAGTCAAGTGAGGGCTGTTAAACGGTAAGCTCCTTACTGCTTTCCATGAGCTCGCCAATCCCGTTCAGCGGGAGGGGTGAGGGCCCCAGCTTTTCCTCTGGGCTCCTTACAGATGAAAACCCTGATAGGAAGTCCAATCTCACATTCCCTCTTCCCATTGATTAGTAGCAGGTGTTCACTACCCCTAGACCCGCTCCATACCTGCTCTTGTGTGCCCGCTCATCACTTTCCTTCCTAGTAAGTCACGTGACTAGAGGAGGGGCTTCTTCACCTGGCGCGGTGTTTCAGAATGTCTCCGAGTTAAAATATAAAACCAAGAAAAATGTTGATAAAATAGGAACCTAGCCCATGATCAGAATTTCAGTCATGGTCTTCCTACCCATCAGTACTTTTTTCTACCCGTTCTATTATTTTTCACTTCAATACTTTATATTAATTAAATGTACATCCATTAGAACACACACGACTTAGATACCGATATAGACACATACCTACACACACTCAAACACATTCACTCACATAGACATACAGAGAAACACGCACTCACACACACTCAAATACAAACACACACAGGCACAAATAAATATGCTTGCACCCTCGCGTGTCACAAACACGCATATACAGATTTGTTAAATGAGAAAAATATTTGTTTTTACTTTATCATAAATTAATTTCCTCAACTGCCATCCAGAAGCAGCTGCAAATTGGATCTCACAATGTCGCCTTCCATCCCATCCTTCTCAGAGCACTTTGTAGCAGGGGACTCTTAGTGGTGATGCTTAATTAGTGTCTGACTTCCTCGATTCATTAGCATTCAATAGCATACCTACACTATAGTTAGCACTAAATGGATATTTCTTGAGTGATTGAACAAGTGAACATAAATTATGTCTTAAATTCTTACAAAATTAATGTATAAATGAACTTTTGGAACACTTGCCATTCATAATCAGGTATTGCTTGTTGTCATTCTTGTACTGTCCAAGTCAGCCCTTTAGTAGGTAGGGAACTAAGCAACATTTTTTGAAGATGAACTATATGAAGAGATCCAGGGGAAAAGGCCCGGCAGATATCCCATAGACTGCCAGAAGAACAAGCATGTCCGTCTTGGCAGATGGACCACCCAATGCTCCTTGGAAATGAGGATGGTAAAACTCCACCTCATGCGCTTTGAAAATGCTATTGGGAGGGAGCAAGACCTCATACTTGATAAAAATCCTCAACACGTGCCTGCAACTTTTAGTAATAACCTTGTTTTACAATAAGCTATTGGCTGTGCAGATTCTTATCTCTTTCTTTAAATCAGTTCCATTAGTAAGAGGAGAGAGGCAGGAATTTGTATTACTTTCCAGATGGTTGACTTCAGCTAAAGCCAGAGTTAGGTTGATTTTGTAATATTTTTCCGTGTTATTTGAATTCTGTGTGCTTTCTCCCAGGTTTACAGACCTACTAATGAATATCAATTGCATTTAACAAAAGAAATAAGCAACCCATTCATTTTATATTTGTTATTGTACATTTTGCTTGAAAAGAAATATAACAGTTCCAGAAGTTCTGACTTTCTGGTAATTATTAGGAAAAAAGTGTAGGGAAATGGGAGAGAAAACTATACTCCTGCATAGTGGTATATTAATAAACAAACAAAAATGTTTTTCACAAGGAAAATTACCAACAACTACAGGGATGTTTTTATTTTTGGATGAAAAGATGAAACTATTCCAGCAATTTTGAGCATAATTTCCCCAAAGCTCTATTAGTGGAGTAGCCCTACTAATATAACAAATGTCTGACTGTGTGTTAGGCCAGGTTTACTAGAGAAACAAATCCAGTGTTTGAAAGAGCCTGGTATCAAGAAGTAATTGCATATAAAGGAAATATCCCAGCCCAGTCCAACTCAAGTCCGATGTTAGTCCATAAGTCCCTCCTCAGACTCACACAGCCACATGCAATGACGCAGAATGCAGAAATATCACAGGCCGGTGGGTGCAAAATCACGTGGATCCAATGGCAGTGGCTCTGGCAGCAATCAGGGTCAGCCAGCAGGAAGGTGAAGGGGAGGGGGTGGGGTTCCCAGGACCCCCCCCCCTAGTTCTTTTTATTTATCTATCTATCTATCTATCTATCTATCTATCTATCTATCTATCTATCTATCTATCTATTTATTTATTTATTTAATTTCTAATCATTTTATTAGGGGCTCATACAATTCTTATCACAATCCATACATACATCAATTGTGTAAAGTGCATTTGTACATTCACTGCCCTCATCATTCTCAGAACATTTCCTCTCCACTTACGCCCCTGGCATTAGGTCCTAATATTTCCCCTCCCTCCCCGCTCCCCACTCCCTCATGAGCCCTTGATAATTTACAAATTATTATTTTGTTATATCTTGCCCTGTCCGACGTCTCCCTTCACCCACTTTTCGGTTGTCCGTTCCCCAGGGAGGAGGTCACATATAGTTCCTTGTGATCGGTTCCCGCTTTCCAACCCACTCTCCCTCTACCCTCCCAGTATCACCACTCACACCACTGGTCCTGAAGGGATCATCCACCCTGGATTCCCTGTGTTTCTAGTTCCTACATGCGCCAGTGTACATCCTCTGGTCTAGCCAGACTTGCGAGGTAGAATTCGTGTCATGATAATGGTAGCGGGGAGGAAACATTTAGGAACTAGAGGAAAGTTGTATCTTTCATCGTTGCTACATCGCACCCTGATTGGCTCGTCTCCTCTCTGAGACCCCTTTGCAAGGGGATCTCCAGTGGCCTGCTAATGGGCTTTGGGTCTCCACTCCGCACTCCCCCCTTCATTTACCATGGTAAGATTTTTTTGTTCTGACGATGCTTTATACCTGATCCCTTCGACACCTCGTGATTGCATAGGCTGGTGTGTTTCTTTCATGTGGGCTTTGTTGCTTCTGAGCTTGATGGCCGCTTGATTACCTTCAAGCCTTTAAGACCCCAGACGCTATACTTTTTGATAGCCGGGCACCATCAGCTATCTTCGCCACATTTGCTTATGCACTCATTTGTCTTTAGTGATCCCTTCAACACCTCGTGATCACACAGGCTGGTGTGCTTCTTCCATGTGGGCTTTTTTGCTTCTGAGCTAGATGGCCGCTTGTTTACCTTCAAGCTTTTAAGACCCCAGACGCTATATCTTTTGATAGCCGGGCACCATCAGCTTTCTTCACCACATTTGCATATTCACCCACTTTGTCTTAGCGGTTGTGTCAGAAGGTGAGCATCATAGACTGCCATTTAATAGAAGAAAGTATTCTTGCTTTGAGGGAGTACTTGAGTGGAGGCCCAATGCAGGACCTTCCTTATGAGAAGGCTGCATCTGCAAGGTGTCACCATCAGGCTGTGACCTGATTGACAGGCAAGACTCCACCCTTGCATGTTTATATATCTTCAAATTGTCATGAAATTATGCAACTACTACAGACTGATTTTTCATTCAAGTTAACTGCTACTTGGCAGGTGTGATACAGTGACACTGTTTTTCTTCCATTCCATCTCTCCAGTTTTCATTTCATAGGTTAGAGATTTTACAATCTAGTACATCCTGGGGAAGATCCAGTTCACAGCCCTCCAGGTTGAATGCTGCACATCCCGCACTGTTTCATTAAGTTCTAATTCTGCACACACAGCCAGGTCATCTTCGGTTGTAGCTTATAGAGTCTCTTACCATTTCCTTTTTCCTTTGCCATTAGTCATCATGCTCGCCTTCTTTTCACATCGTTAGTTTTGGTGTCATGGGATGATGTTTTTCTTATAGCAAATACCTCCTTCCTCATGTTTTGCTGAACCACTTCCAATATTTGGCTCCCTTCAACATTATTTCATATTTTCCCTGTAGCTCATTCCCAAGGTGGTTTTTATCACATACATGACATTTTGAGGAGTACATTAATGAAATCACATCACACATTTCCTCTGCCTTATCCAGGCAAACACAATACTCATTGGTTGGTTTTGAGTCGTAGAATTAAGAGACTAATCAGTTTCTTAAATATATAGATTAAAATTTTGCTGCTTT